GTGTGGAGGCCGCCATTAGTGGTTAGTATTAACGTAGCGTATATTTAATGCCTTGATGAATAGTCGAGCGAATGGCTGATGAATATGAAAGAATGAATGCGGGGTAATTACTCCGTCTTTGGAGACGGGAACACCTGCTGTAATGATAGCGTGTTAGGTAACTGTGTGCAGAGAAGACAATTTATTCTAGCAGCGAGTTGTATAAGTTATATACATTGTAACTTATACGTTATATACATTATATGCAGTATATTTGAGGTAAATGGGTTTGGAATGTTGGTATCGTAGGGCCTGACAGCTGAGTGGACAGAGCTCGGGATTCGTAGTCCTGAGGTACCGGGTTCGATCCCCGAAAACAAATGGGCAGAATTTCTTTCAGTCTGATGCCCTTGTTCACCTAGCAGTAAATAGATATCTGGGAGTTAGACAGTTGCTACGGGCTGCTTCCTGGGGTTGTGTAACAAAAAGGAGGCCTGGTTGAGGACCGGGCCGCACGGACGGTAAAGCCCCGAAATCACCTCAAGATAACCTCTTGATAAATCGTCCCCGCAAGAGCCTACCTTGAGGTTACCTTGAGGTGCTTCCGGGGCTTACCGTCCCCGCGGCCCGGTCTTCGACCAGGCCTCCTGGTTGCTGGCCTAAAGGTAGAAATAGCCTAAGCTACTCTATCCCTTTGAGATGTATTTTTTCTTGTCTCAATAAACATACTTGAACTTGGAAGAGCTAAACTAAGCATGTCAGAATTTTAGCTACACACACGCGGCAATCGACTTGAGAATGGTCCAGGACGGACCGAAACGTCGTCGTCCCTTCATCTTCTAGTGTGTGATCTGGTCAACATATTTCATTTCTTGAAGCAACACACTAGCGGCTCCCGTGTCGGCTAGGGACGAAACTTTGGTAGCTACTGGAGGACCAGGTCGTCGACCAGGAGGCCTGGTCGACGACCGGGCCGCGGGGACGCTAAGCCCCGGAAGCACCTCAAGGTAGCTAATGAGTAGTTTCGACGTGAGTGAATTGTATGAATTGTTTCTTAGCGTTGAAGATGATGGTATGCAATAATGTTCTCTGTTCCGATAGTGTTTTGTTCTCTCAAAGAACGGAAATCCTTGTGCGTATATCTCCGTGACTAAATTAGATGTAGAATAGCTGAAATTTGAATGTAGTTTATTTGGGCATCGAAAGCTGTTTGAAATATGTCTAAGGCGTTATTTCCGGTGTTTCTATATAGCCTATAGCCACACACACACACACACACACACACACACACACACACACACACACACACACACACACACACACACACACACACACACACACACTGTGGATTACACACTAGGCATGGGTGATGTGGTGGATAGCTGATTCCATACACAGTTTCAAATGTAGATATGATAGAGCCCAGTAGGCTCAGGAATCGGTACACCAGTTGATTGACAGTTTTAGGCGGGAACCAAAGAGCCAAAGCTCAACCCCCGCAAGCACAACTAGGTGAGTACTGTCAGCGTTAGATTAGATACCGAGAAGCCATATGTACAAACTCATATCATCATTTCTATGATGAATAATGTATATATATATTAAAGGGGGGAAAATGTGACTCTAACTGTGGCAATGGAAGAGGTGTTGTGATAACAGTCTGTCGAGTCTTGCTGATGGTCTGACCCCGTGGCCTTAACTTAAAGTTGATGGTCTTCACCGTCGTACAATGCTACTTAAGATGGCCTAGACACTGTTCACGGTGGTACAGTGCTACCTAAGATGGCCTAGACACTGTTCACGGTGGTACAGTGCTACCTAAGGTGACCTAGACACTGTATTCACGGTGGTACGATTAACCTTATAGACGAGATCTCATAATGATATGCATTTAGTATCCTTGGATGTAGTTGGGGGGGGGGGAGCAACATGTCTGGCCACCATTGGTTTTGTTTAGTGTTTCACGTTTTAGTAATGAAACCTCTTTTGGTTTCTTTGTTTACCTTTTGTACACACAGTTTGATGGAGGTGGGGAAGGGGGTCCAGGTTTCGATATCACACGGTGGTTTAGGTAACTTGTGCTGGTTTGATAGGGCCTTAATGACCCCCTTAGGTAAGAGATTGGTTGGTTCAGGTCACGTTGGCTACCCCGGGCACCGCACAGCTGTTGGGACATTAGACACGCGTGTGCTTGCCCAGCTGTTTCTGCCTTGCTTGCGGGTTCCAGCAGCGACTGTGTATGGTGCTGTCTGTGATATGCTTTTCAAAGTTTTTAAGGTCTTTCTTCTCTTGATTAATGTAACTTTCTTCCTCTTATGCTGTAAGGAGTGTATAGTATAGTTTCCCTCTTTTCTTGTTACTTTGCATTTACTGGGATTGAGCTCTAGTAGTCCTTTTATTGGTCAATTTTGCAATTTGTTTAGGTCGTGCAGTAGCGTGCAGTTACCCCTTTCAGTCTTTACCGTTTTCCTCAGGTTTGTATAAGGTGCAGGCACTGACACGAGAGAGTTTGACCTCCTCCAGTAAGTCATTTACGTAGATCAGGAACACCTTCAAGAGGAAACTAGATTGTTTCCTTCAAGGAGTGCCGGACCAACCGGGCTGTGGTGGGTATGTGGGCCTGCGGGCCGCCGCTCCAAGCAACAGCCTAGTGGACCAAACTCTCACAAGTCAAGTCTGGCCCCGGGCCGGGCTTTGGGAGTAGAAGAACTCCCAGAACCCCATCAACCAGGTATCACCCAGGTATCAACCAGGAACACCTTGGGTCAGATTAGCGTGCCCTGCGGGACTCCGCTCGCTTACCGCTCGCCAGTCTGACAGTCTCTCTCTCACTGTGACTTTGATCATCTTAACTGTATTCAAGTTAATTTTCCAGTTTTACTATTTTACAGTTGACGGCATATTTTTGAGTTTATTACACAATTCAATACATTTTATTTAGGTGACGGTATACAATAAATATTTACAAGGATTTTAAGAATACACGGTCTACTGTATTCCTTCTACCCTTACCCTTCTCTCAAGGCATTTACAGAACAACATTTACGAAACCTGTACATCCTTCCTCAATCATTGCGGGTATCTTTACGTGCATTAAACACGTTGAGCTGTGAAGCATTACCAGTCTGTTGATGACAATAATAACCTGGAGTTGGCAAGTTTCAACGCTCGTTAATTGTTTATTAAATATGAACGAAGTCGCCATGAGTTCATAATAAATATGAACCTATAGTCGCTACCCTATAGCTCTGGAGCCAGATTCACGAAGCAGTTACGCAAGCACTTACGAACCTGTACATCTTTTCTCAATCTTTGGCGGCTTTGTTTCCAATTATTCAACAGTTAATGAGCTCCGAAGCACCAGGAGGCTGTTTATAACAATAATAACAGTTGATTGGCAAGTTTTCATGCTTGTAAACTGTTTAATAAATGTAACCAAAGCCGTCAAAGATTGAGGAAAGATGTACACGTTCGTAAGTATTTGCGTAAGTGCTTTCGTGAATCTGGCCCCAGGGTGGCGAGCTGTACGATAGCATTGCTTTCTTCATTCATTTAAGGGGTTTGACAATGGCTTGAAAGGTCAGTACTGATAGCATAAACGAGTCCGCATGATTATCTTGCGATGGTCTGGACGTAACCCGTTCTCGCACTTGCTATACCGTTGATAGGTTAAGTAATAATTGTAAATAAGAAGCAATAAGATGCTTATCTTAACATACTAAGAAGGTTAGGTGAGGTCGGTGTTTTCTATGAAACTTTTCAAGGTAAACTAAAATATTCACAATCAATTAGTATGTCACATATGGACTTATTAAATAAGCCAATATTGACTATAAGCAAGTGCGAGAACGGGTTGCAGGTCGCTGTCATGATCAAGGGGCCTGTTGTTACATACGTATGTGTCGTTCTCTTCCTGCATTTCTCATGCCTCTCATTCGCGCAAACTTTATTTCTCATTCTCCTTTATTCCCTTGTTCTTCCCGCGCCTTTCGCCTCTCCTTAAAATTCGCCAGTGTTTTAGATTGAGCTACTGGGAACAAAAAGTTGCAAGTAGCACGGGCTATGGTGAGCCCGTAGTGGACTTACCTGGCACAGGAGCGGGACAAGTAGCACGGGCTATGGTGAGCCCGTAGCGGACTTACCTGGCACAGGAGCGGGGCAAGTAGCACGGGCTATGGTGAGCCCGTAGTGGACTTACCTGGCACAGGAGCGGGACAAGTAGCACGGGCTATGGTGAGCCCGTAGTGGATTTACCTGGCACAGGAGCGGGGCTGTCACTTCCCCTTCAGTTGCTTATTTATAATATATTTTTCTCGTATGCTCTTCCCCCTCACTCTTGCTACGCTCATTCCAACAGTCTTCCTCATTGCCTCATCTCTCTTCCTCGTTCCTTGCGCTTCCCAGCAGTCATAGGGAGGGTTCAAGCAGCCTGTCGGAAGGGAGGGAGGTTTCTCTGGCCTATCGTTCGCAGCGCTGTAATTCACTCACTGGAATTGGCTTGTGTAGCGGAGGGGAAGAGGAAGACGATAGTTAGCTTCAGTGTTAACGAGATGGGTGATTGGTATGCATGACCTTAAACGAGCGCAAGGCAGGCCAGTTCCGGTGCAAACGAGAACTTTAACTGTGGGGTTGTTGTTGTTATAGATTCAGCTACTCGGAACAAGTTCCAAGTAGCACGGGCTATGGTGAGCCCGAGTGGAACTGTAGGGGTTTTAACTTCTAACACCAGGAGGGAAAGGTGTATATTTTGTCATGTATTCTTTTTCCTCGCCCGTTTCTTCCAGGTGTTTTGTTTTAATTTTCTCCTTCATCTTGTGTATGGAATGACGTGAACATGTAGATTATTTCCGTGTGTGGCTGCCAGTCGCATAGTTTAGGGCTGTTGTGCTAGGTTCATGGTGCAGGGTGCTCAGACCACCACAGGTGTGGTGTGGGCACGTGGTGAAGGGGGAGTGTGGTGTGGGGCACGTGCTGTGGGGCAGTGGGTATGGGTGACAGTCAGTGTGGGCAGCAGTTCTCCT